CTCCCGTCTGAGACTTCCTCGCAATGTAATCAAGACCCCCGCTCCCGCCTGAGACTTCCGTGCAATTTACGTGGGAACGGCGCTCCCGCGTGAGACTTCTTCGAATTTTACTCAGGACCCCCGCTCCTGCCTGACATTTCCGCGCAATTGACTCAGGAACGGCGCTCCCGCCTGAGACTTCCTCGCAATTTAGTGAGGACCCCCGCTCCCGCCTGAGACTTCCGTGCAATTTGCTCAGGAACGGCGCTCCCGCTTGAGACTTCCTCGCAACTTAGTCAGGGCCCCCGCTTCCGCTTGAGATTTCCTCACAATGTACTCAGGATTGCGCTCTCGCGTGCGACGTCCTCACAAATTATTATGGAATTGCGTTTCGGCGCTCAGGAACCACGCACGCGCCAAGGACGCCTTCACAACGTGGTATCTTCCCTCTTCCTTCGTCCTTCCCCCTCCCCTTCCTCCCACTCTCCCTCGTTCTTCCCCTCCTCCTCTTGCAGGGCCCGCGCCAATTCCAATGGCGGGCAGAGAGATGTACGCCCCCGAAGGATTGTCCGCCCGTTCCGGTTTGCCCGTACGTCTAAGCCCGCCGGCCTCAGCAAAGAAAAATAATCCCCCCGAAAGGGGTGTGATCGAAGACGAAGAGGGCGGGCATCGAGGGTGTAGGGTATACGTGTTGAATGACTCGCGGGCAAGTAAGAGCGCACAGCCTTAAAATGGTTGTTGTTGTTGTTGTTGTTGAACTCTCACTTCTGAAGAATAATTATTGTTCATCCCCCCCCCCCACCGGTGCATATTGTTTTTTCTCTATCAAAGTGTGTTCCTCGACGCTCGCACCTTGTTCTTTGACAGAGAAAGTCTTGATGCTCAAATTGGGTCCCTGGCTGTGGGTTACAACAACAACGGCTCCCGCTTGAGACTTCCTCACAATTTAGCCAGGACCCCCGCTCCCGCCCGAGACTTCCTCGCATGTTATTCAGGAGTCGCGCTTTCGCTGGAGACTTCCTTACACTGTATTCAAGCATCGCTCCCCCAGCGCTCTGCAGTCGCGCTCTCGCTGGAGACTTGCTTGCAATTTACTGAACAATAACGCCCTTGCGTTGGAATTTCCTTGCAATTTACTGTAGCGCCGCACTCCCGACACCCAGGCACCCAGGAGTCGCGCTCACGCTTGGGACTCCCTTACAGATTACCTAGGCATCGGGATCTCGCTGCCCTTCGTGATCCCGTTGCAGCCCTTCGTGGCCCCCTCGCTTTGTTTCGTGGCCCCGTTGCAGCCCTTCGTGGCCCCCTCGCTGCCCTTCGTGGCCCTTCGTGGCCCCCTCGCTTTGTTTCGTGGCCCCGTTGCAGCCCTTCGTGGCCCCCTCGCTGCCCTTCGTGGCCCCGTTGCAGCCCCTCGTGGCCTCCTCGCCGCCCTTCGTGGCCCCGTTGCAGCCCTTCGTGGCCCCCCCGCTTTGTCGTGGCCCCGTTGCAGCCCTTCGTGGCCCCCTCGCTGCACTTCGTGGCCCCGTTGCAGCCCTTCGTGGCCCCGTGGCAGCCCTTCGTGGCCCCCTCGCTGCCCTTCGTGGGCCCGTTGCAGCCCTTCGTTGCCCCCTCGTTGCCCTTCGTGGCGCCATGTATGTATGCTATTCGTGGCCCCCGCTCGTTCGCGCCCGTGGTGGCCCCATCTGCATGCCCTTCGTGGCCCCGTTGCTGCCCTCAGTGGCCCTGTCCTTGCCCTCCGCGGCCTAGTATACGTATGCCCTTCGGCGCCCCCGCTCGTTCGCGCCCGTTGTGGCCCCATGTGCATGCCCTTCGTGGCCCCGCTGTCGCCGTTTGTGGCCCCCTCACTGTCCTACGTGGCCCAGTTGCTACCCTCAGTGGCCCCATCGTTGCCTCCTGTGGCCCCGCATTATCTGCTATTCGTGGCCCCCGCTCGTTCGCGCTCTTCGTGGCGCCATACGCATTCCCTTCGTGTCCCCGCTGTCGCCCTTCGTGGCCTACTTCGTGTCCTTCGTGGCCCTGCTGTCGTTCTCTCTCGCTTTCGCTCGTCGTCGTCGTCGTCGCCGCCGTCGTCGTCGCCGTCGTCGTCGTCGTCGTCGTCGTCGTGGTCGGTCCCCTGTCCGTCCCTCTTGGGGTCGGGTCGACGGTCCGCGGCCGCCCCGCCGATCAGTGCTGCCGCTGGCCAGGCCGAAGGTCCGCGGCAGCCCCGCCGCTTGCCAGGGCCCGGGCTGCAGGGAAGAAAGGTATACCCCCAAAAAGGGTTTCGATCGAAGACGAAGAGGGCGGGTATCGAGGGTTTGGGAAATACGCGTTATTAGACACTCGAGCAGATAAGGGCGGAACAGTTTTAAAATGATTGTTGTTGTTGTTGTTGTTGTTGTTGTTGTTGTTGTTGTTGTTGTTTGTTTTCGTCGTCCCCCCCGCGACGTTGCGCGCGACCCACCCGCGACCCACCAGCGACCCACCAGCGACCCACCCGCGACCCAGCCGCGACCCACCCTGCGACCCACCCGCGACCCACCCGCGACCCAGCCGCGACCCACCCTGCGACCCGCCCGCGACCCATTCGCGACCCACCCGCGACCCACCTGCGACCCACCCGCGACCCGCCCGCGACCCAACGGCGACCCACCCAGCGACCCACCCACATTGTTTAGACGAAAAATCGGCGCCTGCGGCGGGCCCACTGCATAATGTGTAAAAGTTGCGCGCCCGCGGCGGGCTTCTTCAGAGCCCCGCAGACTGCCGACGTCCTCGCCCCCCACTCATTCTTATCCGCAACTTCGGGGTGGCACGCACATCGGTTTAGTTCTGTAACTTTTGTTCTGAGATCATGTCTTGGTGCACGCTGTTAATTTCTAAGTACTCGGTTTCTTTCATTGTTTTGGGGGGCCGAGATCCTTTCATTTCTAATTCATCTATCCTGGGCCTCTTCCGGGCCACTAGGGGGCCAGGAACAATTAGAAACGAGCACAGTCAGAAATGAGCACGCTTCGACACGAACGACGTGTAGGTCGATAGGCATGCCGGGACGACCAGTCCCCTGCCCAAGCCTGGCCGCCGCTTCGGCGCCCCTCGTCGGGCGCGCCTCGGCGGCGCGAGCACCCGCCAGCGTGGACCTCCGAAGAGTGGCAACGGAGGGCTTCGGGACGTGCTGGTGGCTTCCTGGGAGCTCCTCTTCCTTGATATCAAAATCATTGATTTTACGAAGGTTTTGGCCTCATTTTGTCCTTCTCAGGGGGTAGCGCTCATTTGCGCTTCTGAGGAGGTCGCAAGAGGCCCCAAGATGGCCCCAAGAGGCCCCCAGGAGGCTCCCAAGAGGCCTCCCAGCCCCAGGGTGCTTCCGAGCAGCTGCGCCTCGAAGAGGGCGCCTGCAGGGGTGCCCAGGTCGGCCCTGCACGGCCGCAGGAGGCCCGAGGCACGGCCCGAAGGCGAGGCCTCCGCGCGTCACGACAAGAAGTCGCGACGGGGGAGGGTTTGCACTCTTCGGCTCCCGGGGACCCTCTTCTGGCTCCTCTCCTGTTTCGGGGGCGGAAAAGAGGGGGGTGATGACTAGGGGGGGGGGGATATCATGGCGGGGGCCATGATATTTCCCCAGATTTCATGGCGCCTCTTCTTCTTTCATTACGTCCCTGGCCCCCCCGCTGGGCCGCGCACATGCCGCCGGTCATGATTTGCACCCCCCCCTCTTGGACACCCCCCTCTTGGCCGCTCCTGTCCTGTTGCAGAATTGACTCGCCGTGAGACCGTTTCACGTCCAACATGCTGCCTGACCGGCAGCCGCCATACGGTTTGACGAGCGATGACCTCCAGCGCGAGTGCCCTCATGTCGTCCCACGGCTGACCATGAGGGACCATCTTGAGTTTTCACTTGAGTGTTAAGCGACGGCTGTCCAGACCGTTACGGCGTGTGCCTAACAAATCTGTGTCACGCCGGCCATACATACGGTTCGGTAGTGAATATTCTGCCCTCGTCGCCGGTGCTTTGACAATACGCCGCCAGAAAATATTGGCGTGGTAATCGATGGAGCGTTTGATCTTTTTGGCGCTGTTCGTCCTCCTGGGTCCCTCGCCGGGCCCGGGGACCGTCGAATAGCGACTCGGGATGAAGAACAGGGCCCGGGCAAGGAGTCCAGACCTCTCAGGACACGTGTCGTGAACAAAACCTGGCATCGCTCGGACGTGTGCATTTTTTTTTCGGCGAGAACCATCGAGGACCATCCTGGACCATCGAGCCAACAAAAACGCGCACGAAACCGACAACTGCACGGGAAATGGACGTCCGAGCGATGGCGAGAACATCCAACCGCGGCGTTGGATGTCGGGGAGGGCGCACGGAGGTTACAAACCTGGGTTGATTGGCTGCTGGTCGGGGGGGGGTGGGGGGAGCCGAGCCTGCAGGGTGGGCCTTTCCATTCTTCAAGCAGTGGCAGAGCGTCCAGGCTCGCTCAAAGGCCCGCCAAGGAATGTTATGATAGCCTTTTGTGGTCTGCACGAGATGTTCTCAGGACATTCCTGGCTGAGACTGTCTTGTTCTTGACGCATGTGGCCTATGTTCTGAGAACACGGTCTTCATTATTAGAACAACTTGGGATTCTAAGAACATGTCGTGGCAGGCCTATCGGAATGCTGGGACGGTCGGTCCCTGCTCAAATTCTGTGCGTTTCAGCTTTGGTTCGGGCGTCAGCTTCACGTGCATGTCGAACCGACTGCGGACCAGCTCACCCCTTTCAGTTTCGCCTGCACGGGTCCGTCCCCCTCATCTTCTCGCTCCCTCGTCGTCACCCCTCTCGTGGTCCATCCTTGGCATGCGGGAGGGGGAGGTCGTGGGCGGAAGGTTGGAAATAAGGCGGTTGGGGGAGCGACCCCAGGTTCCATTCTGGCCCCTCGGGGCTCTGAGCCCACAGGGCTCTGCCAAGTGGATTCTGGCTCGAGCCCGCTCCGTGCCAAAGTCATGGCGGCTTGAGCCTGTCCTTTTCAAGGTGTGCGGTGAGTGCCGTGGCTGCCCTGAGGTGATTTGGCCCATGGAGGGGGGCGCGCCCCCTGCGGGAGGCGACGGCATGGAGCCCAGGGGCGACATGAGCAGGAGAAGGGCAATCCATTACAGCTTGATTCGTAGGGGGACCCTTCCGACTTCAGAGTGGCCTCGCGTCCCGTGTCTCGCGTCCTGCGTCCCCCGCGTCCCTGTGGCAATGAGATGCTGGAAGCGGTCTGTGCCCTCCTGCATGTCCTCTCCAACCGAACCCGATCGTAAACTGCCTAAGCATCAACTTTCGGAGCTCCGCGTGGACATCTTGGATCGGCTCCGCTCCCTGCCGCGCCCCCGCGCGCCAGCGGAAGCAGGGTCCGGAGCCGATTCAAGGAACCCGTGCAGACCTTCCAAACGTTCTGTTGATGTCGTGTCTTGTTTTAAGTTGGGCCTGTCCCCCTACAGGAGGAATATCCAAAAAAAGTCAGAAAGTAGTCAGGGGACGATTTTTTGACAATTTCTGAATATATGTTAGTGTATTGTTTGACTCTTTTTTATTTTTCGTCCACAATCCCTCTGTAGGGGGACAGGCCCGACTTAAGTTTTGTTCTTCGGAACAGGAGGAGAACCTGGTCTCGCTCGACATCTCTGCATCCGCCGCCAGAGTCGATGCTGCGGGGGTGCGACGCTAAAGAGGGCGATGACGGCGATGAGGACGAGCTGGACGAGGAGGAGAGCCTGGAGGCAGGCAGCCAGAACTCCGGCAAGAGCCCGAACCCTGCAGATCCCGGCAGTGCCAACACCGGGGCAGGCGCCAAGTGGCACGCAAAGATCATGCTGGACAACTTCACCCACACAAAGGACGCACCAGGGGGCAAGATCAAGGCATGCCGAGGTATGCCGATGATCAATGTGTCCGAGTTCCTGGCAGGGCTGGAGAACGCGAATGGGCGCTGGCTCTTCAGAGGACCGCTAAACGGCTGGGCGGGCCTCGTGAATTTGGAGCTGAAGTCGTTAACGAAGAAGGTGAGCTCACTCGGTGGAATCTCTGTCAAGCGTATGTGGAATGCCTGCTCGGGCAACGCCCTGCCCGACAAGTCCGTCTTCGGGAAGAGCGTCCGCGCCACCTTCGAGGCCCCAGCGTGGACGCAGTCGGGATATGTCGACGGCTCCAAAGGCTTCATGTGGTGGTTTACCCCGGTCAGTTTGCAGGGCCTCCTCCACGAGGGGAAGAAGCTCGCGAAGCCGGGGATCCTGTGCGGAGAGCAGTCGATCACCGAAATGGAAAAAGTGGGCGGCTCTTGCGCGGAGGCCAGGGCTGTATGGTGCCACGCTTTCGCGCACCGCTACCCTGTGGAGAAGGAAACGCTTTCGGACAGGCAGACCTACCACACGGGCGTGCTGGTGGAGTGGGACCACGGGCGTTTCATGACCGTCGTGGAGCTGGCGTACCTCTACGGCTGCAGCGGCTACAAGGGGCGGTCGAATTGGTGCGAGGACAAGCTGAAGACCCCGACCGAGCTATTCCAGGCGATGCCCGACGGCATGAAGGTTTCAGTCGGGCATGTCCCTCTGCCTCTGCAGGAGGAATCTTCAAGAATAGTACAACAATAGCCTGGGAAGATTTTTTCGAGGTTTTCTGACTATCGTAAAGCATGTGTTTGGCAATTCTCTATGTGTTCGTCCAGAATCCGCGTGCAGGAGGACATTCGACCACTCGCAGAGGAGGGTAAGGGGGAGGGGGGTAGGGCAAGCTAGGTGCACTCGCATCATATCTGGTGTCCTACCCCTCCCTCCCATCCCTGACCATGGCGTAGAGATCCTCTCTATTCGCGCAGTCGGACGCCGCAGCATGACATAGCATTACACGGCGTAGCACGGTGTTGAACATTTACGCGTAGCATGACATAGCATGGCGTGGCGACGCCCCACTATGTGGGGGGGGTGGTCCGCGGCCCCAAAAAATCAACGATGGTATCCGATGGTTTCTTCGGGAGGCAATTGTTTGGATTTTGGGGCCGGTTTCGAAGTACCGAAAACCATGTCGTGACATGGCATTGAAAGAATTACCTTGGCGACGTACCCAACCTTTGCGCAATGCGGGGCATAAGTACATCAGGATTGCTACAACGGGCGCGATGTTGTAACATGGGCGCATGTGATTTTGCAAGCAGCTATCGGAAGGCTCGCAGGCCCCCAATCAAGATGTAAGGGCGTCCCCCCACGGACGGCGAGGTCTCGCCCAGATCCCCGCGGTGCCTCAGTCCGCAGGACCCACCAGCAGCCCTCGAAGGTGGCGACAGTGTCGCTGATCGCAGCCCCCCAGGGACGGCGAGGTCTCGCTCAGATCCCCGCGGTGCTTCAGTCCCCATGACCCACCAGCAGCCCTCGAAA